GTCAAAACTTACAACTCTTTTTATTTATTTATTGAGTTATAATAGTATATAATAGTATAATTAGTTAGTAATTACTATCATTCGAATAGTTTACACATCAACTAATTTTTTTGTTATTAAGTGTTAATACATTTATCTTTTCGATTGTTTTTTGCTTTGAGTAATTTAATGTACATCAAAATGAACAGTTTAATTTTAAAATATATATTTTATGATTGTTTAATGATCAAAATATAACTACAAATACTATAACCATTATTTTTTACCGTTTATTTTTTTTATTTTAATTCTAATTAATATTTTAAATTTGGCCATATAGTTCTGTTCATCTTAAAAAGTTTGATATGTTTTGACTGTCAACTAGATTTATTCAAAGTGTCAGAGATTTTTAGTTTAGTCAACTCTCATGTGTATTTGTGAAATTCTGTTAGTATAGCATAAAAAAAACCATTTATTTCTCTTAGTTTAAATTCAATTTTTTGCTATTCCACTTATTGCCATTTGGTTTTTACTGTGTCTTTAATAGTTTAATGTCTGTATATATTGTAAAGTAGTCACATATTTGTCAGATTTTAAAAATAAACAAATTTATTGAGGAAGCAACTGTTGTGGTAGAGAAGTTTGAAGGTTTATAAGTGAATACGGTGCATAATTCTCATTTGTTTGACAGAAAATCTTTAATAATTTTATCGACTGAAAATATCAATAAAAAAAAAAAAAAAATGTTTATCGTAGAATTCGGTGAATTACATTAATTCTATTACAGGTGACCGCATCTTATTTTTTATTTTATTTCGTGTTTTTTAAACTTATGCATGCGTATTAAATTCTGTGGTTTTAACATTTAATGAAGTAAATTAGCCACCTTCATACTTTAAGGACGCCACGCAATAGATGTTTCTTTTTCTAGTCCTGTATTCTGTTGATTTCTATCTCGGAGCATTAATATTCCGTCATGATAATGATAGCTATAAAAACAACTGAATATATATGCCTCTAAAAATAAAACACGTATATGACCCTTAAAAATACATAAAAATTCTCCCTTAAAATATATAGCAATCGTACGTACAATAAAAATAGTTTAATCTATACTTTGTAATTCACTCAAAAAATGTAATAAAATAAATTATGTCTCGGATAGTAGTAAAAAATAAAAATAAAATAAATTAATGCGGTTTTTTATTTGCAACCTCCGATCTTAAATTATTTATTAAGATACATTTTAATCAATCAGCTATAATTTTTTTAATTTTATTTTGGGGTATTATATTATGATAAAGAATGAGTCGTAGTATAATATGTGTCACGGTATATTCAGTGTACGTTTATTAAAATATCTTTTTTACTTGCACTTAATTCAAATTGATGTGGGTTAGGTACTAATAGGTTATTGTGGTTCCAGATTTTGCGTGGAACGAGGAATGTATTAGTTTTATAATGATTTATATTTATTTTTTGTTTTTTTAATGTGAACGCTTTTTCTACCAGAAATCATACTCCGATTATCAAGTATAGCCCCTTTTCTGAAAGGAAATGTTCTCTGGGTGGTACTTTAAAGGGGTCAATTATTAAAACTCTCATTAATATTCGATATAATGAGGAAAACTTCGGTTTTTAGATTAAAAAGGATTGAAAGATTAAAAATAAGGTTGTGACTGGCAACCGTTTTTATTTATTTTTTGTTCTTATTAAGTTTTTATTATTTTAACCTTTTTTAAACAAACATTGTTTTCATGGAAACGCACATTGTTTTAATCATTTTACCATAATATGACATAATACCATATATTGTATTGTTGACAAAGCAACATTATCAACTGACCTCGCCTCAAAATCGTTTTTCGTTAACAATGGTTTATCGTTGCTTACAGGTATACATTAAATTCCCGTCTGCAGCTTACCTTCCCAACTTCTCACCTACAACAGTGGCTGCATCCACGTGCGAAGTATGCCCGTCCTTTTTTTATATGGATCCAAGAGTGTTTCAAACACTTTTTACACTATAAAAATGAGAAATATCATAATTCAAAGTTTGAATTTCAACCTATGATATGTACAATGGAGGTATGATACTTTTCACAAATATGTGCTTGAACTCCATTGAAAAAACCACTCATGGCCGTGGTACCATCATAACCTTCTCTCTCAAATAGTTTAAATTTAAGCCTACACTAGTTAAAGTGTTCGATATAGTTGTAGGCTAATCCATTTCCTGTCACATCTGTTACTGGCACAAACATCAAAAAATCTTCTCGGATTTTTAATAAATCTACATCAAAGAAGTGGATACAGATTAATGTCTTCTATACTAGAAACATCTATAGCTTCTACTGCTAATACAGTAAAACATTGTGATTTATTAGTTTTCGAAACAATTCGTCTTTGAATAAGTGTTTTACATAGGTCAATAATTTCGTTCTGTATTCTTCCGATTAAGTAAGTTGCGTTATTCAATGCTCCAGTTAAATATTTTGTTGGCATAAGATTACCGTCTATAGCTCAATAACGGGTTAATGTCCGAAATTATAAATAAAAAAGCCCTTAAGGAGAGACACATCTCTTCCTCTGCGTACTGACGTGCACATTGGTATTAATCAATAATCGTATAACATAATAATTTTTTCGTAAATTAAATTAAGAAACAGTGGATCGAAACTTCAGTATGATTTATCAAAATTGGGTAAGAACCATTTTGTAATTGCCTAGTTAAATTTAAGTTAACTTAAAAAATAAAAATAACCTATACGCTTAGTTATTGTTAATTTTAAAATATAAAGAATTTAAGAAACTTATTAATTATTATAATTTACAAAATGTTCAGGAAAATAATAATTAATAACTAAGCTCAAGTTGAAAGTTACATTTTAAAAATAACTCTCAAATACACCCATAAAAATATTTTCTACTTTAATATTAATAGGTAATTGCATAGAATTACCGTGCACGACTCGTATGGCCGTGATAGCGTATCCAATTGGTCGCATGCCCGTAAATTTATGTAAAATAAAACTTTGTTAACTTTTTAAAAAATCTCTACAATTTTATTCAAGGGCAGTCAAGGTTTATAAATTAATATAAGTGTTATACATTTAAATATAAGCTCGATTTATGGTAAATTTTATTAAAACACGAAAAATAATGTATTGTAATTTTTTTTTTTGTAATAAGATCGATGGTTCAATTAAATCATGGCTAATATATTCAAAATCAGTATATTACAATTGTGAATACAATTCGTTAAAAACACTGACAAGTCACTGTCATATTTTCGGTTTCGAATTGTTTTCTTTGTTTTAACGAAAATCAAATGGAGCGTATTGATTCAAACGTATTACTTCGTAATGCTTCGTGGTGCTTCGTTTCGGAAAAATGTCTACGATTAAGACAAATTGTGTACATTATTATCTGTTTTTATAAAAATAAGTTTCTATATGTCTGTGCACGATCTACAGCCGAATTTATCGCACGCAGAGGTCTGAAAATGTCCATACAGTAGTGAGTGAACGAGTACGTGTGTGCGGCCTGCATCCCAACGTCAGATTTGCGAAATTCATTTCACACAGAGTTTTTGGTATTTTAGAAACGAAAATTGAATTTGTTTTTTTGTTGTTGATTAATGGACTACTCTTACCTTGGTGACACGGGGGAAAATAGAGTTATGATTAGTTAATTTGGTTGTCAAAAGCTCGGAAGTAAACTTTAAAAAAAAATAAATAAATAAAAAATACCTGGCGAAAACTGGTAACTGTAATAAGGAAGGGACTGGAAACGGGGAGGCACGTTTTTATTTTTCGTTCAATACTTTGCACGGACAAATCCGTGCGAGACAGAGCTAGTAGTAGTAGTAGTAATATTGATTTATTTTTTCTGAAATATTATACTTTTACGAATCTCTAGAAATAACTGAACCTTTCCGCGTTCGCGCCTATTCAGCGCGTACAGACATTTTGTAATATATTTTTCTTCGCCATTATAGACCTTATTCTACTCAGCAAGTTCGATCAACTATTATTTTGTTCTTATTTTTGTCAATCACATCTCTCTATTCTATATTATATCTATTACTACAAAATTGTCTTCAATTACTCCTGCACATGCTCTCATATTATCTCCTCAATAATAACCTTTTTAGCCACTATATCTTTGATCGATCTACGCACAAATAACACCTCACTGATCTTAACCATCGTTGGCCACACAACATGCCCGTATTTACATAGGCGTAAATAGTGTTTGATATTTGGGAGGGCTGATGAATTTTTTTTTTTTGTTGCTCTGTTACTATCTTCCTTACTTTATGATATATTCCAATTTAATATTTAGTGAAATAATTAATTTTTTTTAGAGAGGGGGCCATAGCAATTCTAGTGGAGTTATGCCCCCATATTTGTAACTATGCCCTATATAAACTAGCAATCTATTTTTTCTCATTTGTCCTCCTCGCTCAATCCTATCAGATCGGATTACAAATCGCACATTAATAGTACAATAATTGAATAATAGCACAGTAATTCCAATATTTATTAACGCATAGCATATATTTTAATCCCGTAGCTATTAGTAGATGATAAACTAGCAACCATGGTAATTGGAAGACTTCTGGGTCGTGTCCCGGATCCCTCCCATGGAAAAATATCACGTATAATATGAATATATTCTCGTACACGGGTCCACCGATGGGATTTAACTACCAATTGATATTATTAGTTATTAGTTATTACCAATATTACTAATAGGTAGTCGACACGGGCGAATTTCACCTGGTGAATTACGACTTCACCATACATATTATATTATTATGTAAACGCTCGCGTTGGTTGTATCTAATAATATTATATTATATAGGAACACAAAAAAAAATTATCATATACATTTATTAATAAGTTCGACTACAAGAAAAAAGATGTTATAATTAACAACCGGCAGCGACGCCCGTTTCCGCTTTGATCGGAAACGTTTACATTTTAAATGATCGCAAATGATCATTTTCAAATCGGTTTTATTTTTTTTGCTTACGGAATGGTCTCTATTATTTCTTTTCACAGTTCGAGAGTAGTTCGTTATTGTACGGAATTAATTTGTTTCTGGTGCACCAATATATATGACCATTATTATTTCTTTATTTTCACAATGAACTGTCAACGCGTACAATTTCCCCCTCCCTTCTCCTCTACTTTTAAAATGTGACATTTTCCTTGGTCTAATTGTAAATGACTCGATAGTATTAGATAGCAGGGTGAACGTCACAATTTGCGAGAGCTCGACTAGATTATTTTGTGAGGCATTTTTTTTTTTTAAATTTTTACTTTTATACATTTATTATTTATATTTATATCTATATATTACACTTTTTGGTTTATATAAATGTGTACTATTTCAATAAAAAAAAAAAATTAAAACATTCAAGGCGCCTTGGAAAGACCTTTTCCTGGCCTTTTTTGAAGCGAAAAATGCCATCATGTTTTCTAAATCCAATGAATTTAATAATTTATTGTACATAGCAAAAATTTTAGCCAATTAAGTCAGTTTTTCTGTTAAATTGTGTTTCTGAGGTGGATTTTCTTAATTTTTAATAAAATAGTTAAAAAATATTTTATAGACAGTCGTCACTAATTGATGATTTTGAGTTTATAATAGACGTTCTATGTAAAATAATTAAAAAAAAAACCTTGAATAAATTGCTTGAGATGTTACACTCCAAGGCCTTATTAAAGGGGTTAAAGAAAAAAAAGGGCCTTAAAATATAATTGCATTAATAATTAATCACGCAAATCGTAACCCTGCTTCCAATATTAATGATGCACTAAATATTAAGTCAAGAAAAATTTCGAATTTTAAAGGAGGTGGAGATGTGTACGTCATATCAACACAATATTAAATTTAAGATGCAATATGAACACTAACTAACAGTGACAGTATTATTTAGTGTAGGATATGTTTTCAAGAGTAATAATTCCAATTCTGTCTCCAATATGTAAACTTCTTTATGAAGATCCATTATTTTTGACATAATTTTAGAACGTTGCATAACATTTTTCAATCTACAACGAAATATAATAATATATTATTGATTTTAGCATAAATAATGTATATATATAAATATATATCCATTGATACGCAAATAGTAAATATTATATTTATGGATTACTTGGTAGGATGTTCAAAATTATAACAATTAAATTACGCTAAAATACATTTAAAAATTAAATATTATATTCACCTTGTATCCGTAATTAATGTTAGTTTACTAGTTAAACTGTGATCAATGGTATTCTTTACTTCCGATAATTTGAGATTTGTCAAATCGATGTCTTTTTCAATTTTTTCGTTTTCTCGTTTAATTTTTTTTATCTTGGTGGAGAGTTCGTCAATAAATTGATTTAACTGTACTATTTCTTTTGAATGGTGCTTAAATTTAAAAAAATAAAATAATAATTATTCTTATTTAGATAATGTATTTAAATCATAGCGTTATATATAACGTAAGTATCTCTTACGATTTGCATCCCTGCTAAACTTTTATCTACATTTTGTTCAGCTTGTTTAGCAATGTTTATACCCTTTGCTTTAAACTTGAGATAATGTAATATATTCTCGGTCATCTTCATAGATGTTATGTAGTTATAACGATATTTATACAATTCAATTTTGTGTTCTTTTAGATTTTTAAGTTCCGACTCTAAGAGTTGGTATTTACTTTTGAATTTCAAAAATGTTGATAACACGTCAATTTTAATCTTCCCTGTTTCCTAAATAATATGCATTTTATTAGATTCATTATCGTGTCAAAATTAATATAATTTAAGGTAGGTAGGAAATGATATTTTGAAATGTTAAAGGACAATCGTAGGTTTTCAGCCTACAACACGAGAAAGTTAATATTGGCTTGAAGATTATTGTAATCTTGTAAAGGGTCAATTTTATGTCATCGGAAAAGTCCAATAGACGTGCATGTCGTGATATACGGTTTGAACTATTTAAAAATACAGAAAACAACTCGAGGAATAGTTGACCTCCTTGGGATTAGAGGAAGCATTTTAAATGAGACATCATAAATCATAACCCATTGTTTTATTTCATTTATAAATGAACTAAATCAAGACAGAAGTGAGTCAACTGGATATAAGAAGAACATTGACTAGTATTACATAGTCAATAAGTAAAATGCTTTAGGAAAGTCAGTATAGCAAAATATGTATCATTATTATAAAGAAAATTTTGTAAGTCAAATTTATTTACTTTAATTTCCGAATTTATTGCTTCGATAAAACTTTTGGGTAAAAGTGTGGTGTTATAAAAATCTCTTAGGTGCCCTGTTGTTTGGACATGGATATTCCCTTGTTTTAATACTAATTGAATCTAAAAAAAATCGTACAAAAACCAAGTAAGAATGTTGTTAAAACTATTCACAAGCTACAATCTACGTTTCTTACCTCGCTATCATTTTCATAGTGTTTATCTTGATTTTCTAATTTAATAATAGATGATTTCAATTTTTTAATCAAAAGTTCATTTTCTTCTTTATCGTGTATTAGGTTGTCTAATAAATTAGCTTTTTCTGTCACGTCTTTTTCGAAAGTTCTGATTTTAAATTCAGATTCAATTTTGATTCGTCTAAAATTGCAAACTTTATGCCAAGTTTCCTTGTCCATATTCAGTTTATTGTCTTCCACATATTTGTAATCGTCATAAACTCTAAGTGTGTCTAAGTATTTTACGAATTCGAAGCTCAAAAGATTTGATTTGTCATGGCCCGGGTCTATTATATTATTTATAAACTGATAACCAAGTAATGGTGAATAATTTCTGTCTCCTTGTAATTTAGGTCTTCGACTAAATATAAAAAAAATATTTGTAAAATAAATACAAATACACCACGCCCTTGGTACAAAACCGCCACAATTCAAAAAGTATAGTTTTGAAAAATTCAATTTTAAAATATTATATGCTCCCAAATGGTTAGAGCTTTAGTTTCAATACTTTGGAATTATCTAAGTTATCTGAAGCTTATTATTTAATTGGAATATCAAAACTACCTCATTAAGTTTTGTGTCAGTTTTTCATTTCAAACAATTTTATTACAAATGTATTGATTGTACTACGACTTGTAACAATTTAGCATTTTGTGGAGAAAATTACTAGCTAACTTACTGTAGCCTTAACTCAAAAAATTGAAATTCGGATTTGTGGTGGTCTAGTACCAATAAGGGGATGATATAATATTAGGTTATTTATAATGTATGTGTTTTACTTGTAAGCATTTAGTGCTTGTTCATATATAAGTTTGGAAGGAAATACGGATTTGAAATGTTTTTGAAGATCGTTATCTTTTTGCTTCAATACTTCTATATTATTAATCAAAGAACCATGGATCAACTCAGTGTTAATTTTATTTTTGTTAGTCTCGGTAATAGTTTTTTCTATTTCCGAAATAGATTTTCTATAAATATAATTTTAAAATTCAATAAAATTTTTACATTTTCAAACATAAATGACTATAGATGGTATATTATTGGTATTGAAGTACTGAACTACTAACTCATGTAGTTTAATTTGTTGCTTTCGGTAATCGATATCGCTTAACATTTTTGAAATTCTATTAATTTTTAAATTCTCCTGATTAATAGCTGCATTGTATTTCAATTTGATTTTATAAATTTCGAATACATTATTATCAAATTCATCTATGCTTTTATTGATTTGTTGAATGATGTTTGCCTTTTTTTCTTCAAGAATCTTTTTGTACTTCAATCTCTCGTTATTTCTAATCGCCACTAAATTATCATACTCTTTTAGATCTTTAAAATCTTCTTCTGTATAATTTTCTGGCTTTTTATTTAACTTAAAATAAAAACAATAGTCGTTATAATATACTTTTAGGATAATTAACTCTTTACACACGCACAATGCTTTCAGGTTTAGGCACATCTTTTTTCAACTCATCTTCCCATCTTTTTTCCAAAACACCATCCATCATAGTGATCAGTGCCTGTCGTCTAAAATTGTCAAACGTTAACGATTGTGCGTTATGCTCTTCTTTAGCTGAATTTGCGTCCATCATCATTTGTTTATTTGATAAAACATTATAAAATTTTAAGGGAACTTCATCGTCTTTAACACATGTAAGCTTTTCAGTTTCTTCGTATTGATTCCATTCAAAATCCACTACTGAAAGTTCAGTGGATTCCACTAAACATAATAAATATGAAATAAAATTATTTGTTGTAAGAGCCTATTTGTGCATAATACTTTTGCAAGCCAATCTGAATTCACTTTCGATTTCACGTAAACTGTTATTATGTTCCTTTAAATTATTTAGTTGAACTTGTTTTTTAACAAACAGTTCATTGAATATTTCATTAAAATTTACTTTTAATCTGTTAATGATGAACTAATACAAGTAAAAACAAAATAATATTATTAGCAATTAAATATGATATCTATTGATTTTAAAACCGATATTAAATAAATTCCAGCCTTGTTTAAGATTAATAAAAAGTTTTGAAAAATACTGAGAAAATCGAAAAATGACCTCCCCACACCGATTTCTGTTCAGAAAAGGTGCTATAGTTAAAAATCTGAGCAATTATTTTGGTAGAAAAGTTGCAAAGTTTACAAAAAAAAAAAAAAATGAAGATCTTTGTAAAACATCGCTCCACTCAGAATCTAAAATATTAAAATATCAAAGCAATATCTGTAAACATGTATTATAATAATAATACTAATAATAAAAGTTAAAATAATAATACCTAGTAATAAAATATAATGAATAATGTTTTAAAAATCACGTATCGTCTTCGGATATTGTATTACCAACTAAATTGTAACTGAGTAGTTAAGAATTACTTTAAAAGTACCTAAATGAACATGTTTATGATTAACCGGTTTTTTAAACCGGTTATATATTTGTTAGGTTTTGATTTAGTTTTTAAAACTGAATATGTACATTTGTGCGGTATCCAGTATTGAAATATTGAAAAATTGTTATTGAACCGGTTTCGCTGTAAAAATTAGTCAAAATAAAAATATTTATTATTTTACTTACTTTAAGTAAAACTATTTCATCATTAGCTTTTTCTAATTGATAATAATTATTTTGAAAATTTAAATTTTCATTATGACTGTTAATTAATTTATAACTAATTGATCCCATTAAATAATCTTGATTTTCTTTATAATCGCTCTCCGTCAAAGACGTTTCGTCGTACATCCAGTCTCTAAAAAAAATGTGTAGATTTGTTTAGAGATCTATGCAATATTTATTTATATACTTTACGTGAAAGTTGATGGATTGATTGATAATGCTGATGGGTCTTCTTCGATTAATTTTCTCTTTTCTATAATTTGATTTGCTATTTTTATATCATTTTGATCTTGTATGCTGATCGGATAGTTATCAACTTTGTATAATTTTTGTAAACACTGAAATCGAATAAATTTTAAATTAAACATTAAAAAATGTTTATGATTTTCAAAGGTGATCGAACGGGGGGGGGGGAAAGGTAGAATTAAAATATTTATAATAATATAATACATAATATATATATTTTTATATTTTAATATCAATTTTAAGTATATAATATACTCAAATATAACAAAGTAAATAAATAAATCTATATTTAAATGTACGCAATATTAAAAACAATGTTGTCACTCAATAAAGAAAACCTGGAAATCTACTTAGGTATGTCTATAAAAGGAGAAATTAGTATATTTTGAATATTATATCTAAACTTAAATTGTATAAACTAACTCAAATTAATTTCTATTAGAACGTTTTCTAAAGCTACTTTTTAAAAAATCTGTTTGAATTATCATTTAAAATATAAAAGACATTGATCATATTTATATTCTTTAAACTCAATGAATGCTCAATGAATTCTAGTTGACTGATTTTTCTGTTTTATAGCATACCGACATTTAGATACTAATCTATGTAACATATTCATCTTGGTGCCAAATTTATTATTGATTTGATTATACGTACATGTACAGCCTTTGGTTTAACGGAAAGACATTCCCAATATTCTTTCAATATATTTTTGGTCTCAATTTTAAACTTGCTTATATCACCAAGGATTTTTGCTTTATAAATTTGACGTTCGATTTCACTTTTTTCTCTGAATTCCTGTCTATAATCCACGTTTAAATCAAATTCTACTATATTTATTTTAGTATCTTCAGATGCATTAACATTCGTGTCCAGTAATGTTAGAAGCTAAAATAAAAATATTTAATAACACATACCTAAATCTTAAAAAATATTTCAAAAAATTAAATACTATTTCAGCCTATAACTTTAATAATTAAAGTTAATAATAATTTAAGTTTTTACTACCTCTTTTTTTATGTTATTAAATTCTCGTATTATTTCATTTTTTTGTGTACTGTATGAAACATTATCTGCGTACAATTTATTACTTTCATTGATCATCGTCCAAGTCATTCGATTTTGCACTACAAAATAGTAAAACTAATGAATACACCGACTGTCTCAGAACATAATAATTTGACCTACTTTCTGAATCGTCTTCGAAACCAATTCCTTCCGTATCCATAATATCATCTTCTAATATTGATTTATTGGTGACATACGATTTTCTGTTATGATCACAAGTTGCACTGGAATAAGTACGTTTTCAAAAATTTATATCGTATTTGATTTGCAATTGTCATCGAGAAATTTACTTAAATCCTGTGCACATAAAGTTTCCTTGATAGCCCAATGTTAATATATTATAACCGTTGAAATCGACTTGTGCAAATTTCAACCCTCCAGTTTGCCAACGACTGCAATTCACCGAAACAATTTTTTTCCACTCGCCATTATCTTCGAATTCATAAAGATTGTATATACCATCGTAGCTAAATGTAACAAAATTATTTTTCCCAACGGATACTTCAACTTGTCTCAGCATATGATCTAACGGTATATCTTTCAACTCTACAATTTTCGCCTTTAAACGTCACATATTTTAAATTTATAAAATGGTCGTAACCATGAATAAAGTATAAAATATAAAGTAGCTACCTGAACAATATTTATTCGCATTAAGTGAATACATTTTGATAGCATTACGTTAAAAGCTATGTTTATTACATCGGGTACATCAGACGAATTCCATTTAGATATTGACGTGTAGTAAAATTGAGAATTTTCATATTCAAAAATTACATTCAAATTTGTATCGAATATTACAAAATTATTTCCAGTTATTCCTGCAGTTTGCTCATTTTTATACAAAACTGCTAGAATCGATGATTTGCCATCCTCGATTATTTCAATGTCAATAACATGCTTTTCCAAATGATGTTCTCTTAAAACTGAACATTTTTGTCCCAATACAATCTAATAAATATATTATATTTCATAAAATAGTTAGAACTGTTTGATCAAAATTGATCAGAATAATTTTATTTTAGATTTTTAGTGAAGTAAGGAATCTATTGGTTTTTACTATCATTTTTATTTTTATTTTTTTTTCTGTTTGTAAAAATCTTTTTGAATTTGAACTTGTTCCAATTGAAAACCAACGAAAATAATGATTTTGTTATTCAATTCTGTTTATTATTGTAAAATTTAGTTAAAAATATTCGAAGGGACTTTTTGATAGAAAACTTATATTGGCCTTTTATAGACGTGGTCAAATTTTTTAAATATTCTCAAAATATTTTTAAGCTATGAGTAATTATAGGCATTTTATATTTTCTAGATATTTTTACGTACTTTTTCTTTGGTGTGTACTATGTGGTTAAAATTATTTGATCGAGTTGTACTTAGTGAGTAAAATTAAAAGTAAAGTGTAATGTAGTATTTTTTATATAATCGTTTTAAAATCAAATTTTGATGGAAATCGTAAATATTACGACCTTTTAAATCATATATAAATGAACTTCACTCATAATCGAATTTTGTTAGTGATGGTTTATCGTTGCTTGCTAAAATAAATTAAATAACTTTATGTATCCTACCTTCCCAACTTCTCATCCATATACATAATTATTAAATTAAAAACCTTTTGAAATAAAAATATTTATTTGTATAACTCTATATACTAAGAACTTTGAGTAGGTAATTCTATCAAAAAAGGTTAGATTTCTACCTAATAAAAAAAAATAACACAAATTATTAAATAGAAAATTCAAAAGGATCATGTAAGACTATACAAGGACCTTAGGTACGTAGAGTTTATTGCCACCTTTTCAGAAAACCAAAAAAAAAAAACGGGAATGCAAACATAACAATGTACTTTTGCTAAGTGCCTTTATTGGTTATAATTTGGTTAACTTTATTCAAACATAGGTAATTTTATATCTGACTACAGTTTCAATTATTAGACTCACATTATTTATCAATTAAATATTTTAAAAAATGAATAATATTTTCACTACGTCAGGTACACGATAAAAAGATGTTTTAGTAATTTTTGGATGTCTGTAAATCTCATCTTTTTAGATAATATTTATTGTGTTGATCTCTAGGCACCTATAGACTTACTAGACTTCATTGAATAATCAAAAAAATCCACCATAAAAATCTCAAAAATTGTTAGCTTATCGTAAACTTACATCAATAAAATAAAATCGACCAGTTGGAAAACTGGCCGCTATACATTTTGGTCCACGTAAAAAATGTACCGAAGATATCTCTTCGTCACATAATACCATTTTAGCAATGCGCTTCAAATCATTATTCTTGAGAGTTTTAAAAAGTTCCACTTTCCCATTTTTAAACGAAATTGTAAAATAGTTATCAAATGGATAGCTGCTTATGTGTGTTGCAATTCCGGTTAAATTCATCTCGCTTTTCTATAAAACATGAAGACGAAATATTAAATAATTCTGTATTACTACTGTCAAAGTTATTGTAAACGTATTTACAAGTACTCCAGTAGACACGTCCCACAGTTGCAAAACGTTTTTCTCGTTGATAGTTGCGACCGTTTCGTCGGTAGGCTTGATAAATGTAAAATACTCGATACTTGTTCCATAGATTTTTAATACGTTTTCCTTTTTTTTTGTCAGTTCAAGCAGAAAACCCTGCAAAAATAAAAATTGATTGACCTCTTTCCACAATATCATAATATAAACAAATTAAAACCACCTCTTCTGTCCAGCCGTAAACATCGTTTTCTCCGGCTACTATACATTGCAGTCTATGGTTGACGACGATTTTCCACATTTCCGTAAAAACGCCCTTGGTGTCCTTAAACCACTACACAGAGTGACATGAAAACGATTAAAACCAATCGATAATATTACAATATCATTGTGTGCGCAACGTGCATTCGCAAAACGGCTTACCCTCAATTCGTTGGACGTGTATAGCACAAACCCTTGTCTATTATGTCCTATAGAACATACCAATGCCGGAGTTTGTTCGGAATCGTTTCTAGTGTACTCTATGCACATTTCGGGATTCGGTGCACATGGCTGTGTACGGTAAACAGCATTCCTTGACAAATCACAAAAAATGAACCAACCGCTGGACGTCCAACAGCCCGATCCGACATTCGAGTCGTCCTGCAACCCGACCAGAGTGTTTTTCGCGTACACCGTCTTGCAGCTAACGAACAGCGTCCAGAGTTGGAGTTTACATTTCACGTCACGTTCCGTTTGACTTAGATAGATTTCACGTCCGGTTGATAATAATCTGGAAAAACAAAAAAAATCACAGACATTCTATAATATGGATACGAGTGTACGGCCCTGTCCGGACTGATGACAACTGCTGACGTTATTTACATCTGCAAAGATTGGTTTTGTTGAATGAACCCGGTGTCGACGACAATTAATTTTTCTTGAACTCTCCACGCCCACACGATCAAATCGAACATCGGGTAATCGCGCAACCCAATTAAATATTCAAACCCCAGTAAAGTTATAGACTTGTACGCTGCAGAACTGCTGCTATCTGAAATTAATTTAACTTTAATAATTTCTTTGAAACTGAACACAGTAAAAATATTATAACACATATTTTTTTTTTTTCTAACTGAAACACAAATCTAAATTTTAAAATTGTATTTTTCTAACCATACTCATAAAATAACTAAAACAGCTTTACCGGGTAAAGGAATAAAAATGCGATTTTTAATTCTTGTATTATTATCGAAAATATGAGTGCATACAAAATTTTAAGTTAATTGGACTAAAGGAAATTGGTTAAATATAGATTAAAAATTAGGAAAAAAATCTTTTCTAGCAATATATACAAGTAAAGTAAAAAAAAAAAAAATTGAAATCTATAGAGTAAATTAAAAACACTAATCAGGTTCACCTGTCATGTGCTATTTTTTCATATGAAGAACAGAAAAATGCATAAAATATTGTTTGCAAATTGATGATTTAGCTTTGTATATTTTATATTATAACATTCTATTATGAATTAATATCGTACTAATTTATAACAAATACACTCATATATCAGATAATTAGTTTACATTTTAGTTCTACACAGTATAAAGCAAAATATTATATTGTATCACAATAGTAAATAATAAACTATGAACATCATCATATATATTCGACTTCCTCGACTCAGCTAGTTGTGTTCCTAATATTCTTGTAGAAAATGCTGACACCTTATTGACACAAAACCATAATACTCATATCAATTAAATGTTCTGAAACAATCCCTGAAGAATATCATTATAGTACGATTAGTGTGAATAATTAAATCGGACAAACAAATATCATGGGAGTGCATCATTAGGTCGTTCAGTAGGTAGGTACGGTTATTTGAGATTCTGAATGGAGCGAAGAATATTTTACCGTTGATATTATAATAGAATAAATTATAGTATACAGTAAAAGTATATTATAAAATTAATAGTTTTAATATGATGCATTGTTTTTTTTTTTTTTTTTTTTTTATCTGTAAATAACTCTTCAACCAGAAAACTTGCGAAAATTGAAAATTTAACACGAGGTTTATTATAAGTTTACTTAATGGTCAAACAAATTTAAGTGTAACATAGTATTATTTTTTATAAGCGTTTTAAAATACAATTTTGACAAAAGTCATAAATATTAAAATATTTTAAAACATGTATAACTAACCTCTGCTCAGAATCTTATGTTTAGAATGATTTATCATTGTTAACACATAAAAATAGAATAACTTAATATACTTTTATGTATTCTACCTTCTCAATTTCCCCTTTACAACGGTGACACACCAATAAGCAATATTGTCTCTTTTTTATAATATGTGTGTTAAATTCGTGGAAAGAGATCATAATTTACGCACAGTTTAACTGTTGTCTTTTCATAATATATAAAAAGGACATAATTCCATTCGTAACGTAAAAGGAAAACGTATAATATTTTGTATAATAAATATACACATCGTGTGGTTACATATATCGCTACCGAATTTCATACTTATGAATTATTTAGGGGCGTGATGGATACACTAAAAAAATTTACTAAAAATACATGTTTTGTAACCAGCTGTAAATCAACAAAAAAATGACAAAAATACTTTGATAGCTAGACATCCTTTAGGGGATGAATTTTGAAAAGTTAGGTTAGGTAAGATTTAGTCAATTTCAACAAAACTATTTATTTAAAGAATTTAAACTAAAACTTCATCTTATTATGAATTAATAAGTTAATACTTTAAAAAAAATAATATTGGTTTAAAAGGATCCCAAATTGTTAGGATGAAGACGAAGAAGCAGACGAGGTATGTATAAAAGCACCAATTATGTGTTAACAAGTCGAAAATATTAATACATATTATACTGTAATATAATACTATTAATATCAATTAAACACACAAGAGGACAGGCGAAATATGGTATACTCAAATACTTCAAATGCCCCAAATTGGAGCAATATTTCTAGTAGAAAACTGAAAGCGTAAAAATTAAAAATAATGGAACAGTACCGCCATAAATTTGTCATTTTTTGTTTTATCCAGTTTTTTCTAATAATTATTAAAACTACCGAGAAAATCAAGAAATTATTTTTTTACTCACGAAGTAAATTAAAAATGTCTGAAGTTATTTTTCTATTATAGCTATATTTATGGTAGAAAATTTGTAAATGATGTGAAAATTCACTGTCGCATCGTATAGTTTATACGTTATATTAACAATTACAATATACATATATTTGTTGTACCAAAAAATTATTAATAAATTGTTCAACTAATTTACTGATTAATGGTTATATATAGTGATAACTCATTGATTTGTATTAACTATGTGGTCAAGGTTTGTTATATGTGGATATTGTTTAATGCGGTTATCAACGCTGAGTGGAGCATGGATGCCATGGCATTATCAATTTAATAATTATTGTGATGATAACAAAAATATATAATAATATAAAATGTATAGAATAGGTACAATTAAATAATTTTTTTTTTTTTTTTTTAATACTTGTTACTAGACTTATTTTTACCAACTTCCCATTAGCTATTTGTATTAGTTTTATATTTTTGAAATTAAAAATTATAAAACTTAATAATAAAATAGGAGGTAAAAGAAAAAATACATTGTTATCGTACTTCAACAATAAATCTAATGTGACAAGTAATATAATTAGTATTATTTTATGTAACATAAAATTATTTCACTTAAAATATATCAATATTAGACCCGGCTCAATGGGTTTACGATGTTAACCATTCATGGACTGAGTCCACTAACGGCTGAGTAAGTGGTAGATGATCTGGCAAAAAAGCCTAGAAAATTAGATTTTACATTTTAAAAAAATAAAAAGTGCATTCGATTTTGTATTTTTTTTTTTTTTTTGAAATTTATAATTACTAAAAATAATATTAAATCTCATAACTAGCGGGATGTACGCAGTACGCCGATAGCACCTTTCATATTTTTCTAGAAATTACCCCCCCCCCCAACACCACTAAATATGATTTATACGCTTATGTATTATTGAATGATGTTTACTAGAATATATTATATAATATATAAATATTTTTATTATTATTTCTACATTTATTAATATTTTAATTAAATATAAAAATACGTGGTGGACTACATATAACAAGAATACCCTAAATAAAATTTAAATACAGTGATATATTTTTAGTACTTACCAACAAGAGTCGCTAAGACTTCTAAATCGGGATATTTACATATGGCCACCTTGGCCAACGGCGGGTGTTCAGCCAATGCCAGTATATTATCCGGACCACAAGAAACGAATCCAACACTATCCAAAGGTAAATTGACGTCCGATGGAGTGGAATCATTTCCCACTACTACTAAAACGTCTTCTCCCGTTCTCACGTTATGGAAAACTAACGTTTTTCCTATTTGTATTAACAACACATCTTTGGACGCAAACATTAATTTTCGCACGATTCGTGGTTTTGACCATCTTTAAAAAATAATTTGTTTAAATTAAAAAGACGCGTCGTTATTAAACATTTAAAGCATTTAAAGAGCCTCCACGTGGTGCCCTCTGAATATCGACTTCATCTGATTACAAATAAAGACGTATTTTATTAATATACTGACGGCCATTCTTTCAACCGTCAATTGACCTAACTAAATGATCCTTATCAGGACTATACCTTACGTAAATGTAACTTTATATTGAGGAACTAACATCAGAGAAAGAGGAAATAATTTTGCACATAATAAAGAAAAACAATGTAGACCGTACAGTGTCTACGGGAAACTCACAGAAAATATTCTGAACATAACCCATGTATAACTGACATGAAGATAATAGGCCGACGTCCTCCACACTATAAATATGGTAACGCAATCTTTGTTTAATGTCAAATCAGTATTTGTACTGATTTGACACACGGACGAGGACACTATATAGAAATAATCACTGTCGACTTGGGTAATATATGACTAGGGTAAGTCATACCTAATATCTTTGAAATATAAGCCACCAAACGCATCGTTTAAATTTGCTGAGCCCACAAACTGCAAAAATCGAAAAACAAAAATTAGTCCTTTGTGATTTAAATAGTTAAAGCCTCAGCTGAGGGTACGATGAGACCAATGAAGATGACCAGCGTGTAGATAAATGGACAAATGCAACCGATACACGACTCAAAGTTTTAAGTTCCCTTTTACAGCGATGGAAAAGAGGATATAATAACCCGGATAATATCTTCGTCAGTGAAAATATCGAACAGCTATGCACAAAACGAGTAGCCCAAGCAATAGTAGCCCAACACAGATCAATAATATGTGAAATAGACTATGGAAATATTGTAGTCGAGCTAAACTTGGCCCGAAATAACAGTAAAGAATGGAGGATGCTGATGAAACTGTGTGGAGAAAATAAACATCAACTTGTACATACTAACGTATCTGCAAATGAAATAGCCCATTAGGTAATCGTGAACAGTAAAAACAATAAGGGAATGGGAAAACTCAAAAAAACTGAAAAAAATACGCGAGGAAAACAATATGTAACAACCCTCCTCGAAATATCGGAAATTGAAACAATACAAGAAGTAAAACCGAAAAAGCAGCAAAAATAGACGATTTACGAACGAAGCAAACCAAACACTAAAGCACATTAACTATTAGATATACTACTGAAATCTTCAATATTTGCAAATATCGGAACTGTGGAGACAAAAGAGTAATTTCAGTTTTTTTTTCCGTGTATGCGAAATTAGGCCATTTTAAACATTTCACCGGGCCATACAAAAATATACACATATACCTATGTGTATTATTCTGCTTTTATATTGTTTCAATAGATTATAAATCGCTATAAACATAAATTGTAAAATCAATTGACCTATCATCACTGAATCAATGCGCATAAAAATTAGCGCTAATATTTACATTTTGTACGTTTTCCCGTATTTCTTCCGTTTTTTCAAATTTATTGGGAAAACTCATGAGAAAATTAAAAAATAACCCGTCTAAAGTAATACACCATTAAGATTTCCTTTCAGAAAAAATGTTATCATTATAAATCGAACCAACATTTCTGGTAGAAAATTTGTCCAACAAAAAAAAAAAAAAAAAAGGAACATTGAACAAACTAATGCATTCCTTTGCTCAGAATCTAAAAATTCACAAAATTAATTACGTGTAAAGAATTTTCGAAACAAATACTTCGAATTAATTTTACTAAATTTTTCTGAATATTAAGCGAAATTAACGAGATGAACCTCGTCTACCATATATTACTTATTTTTTTTTTCGCGTGTTTTGAAATAAAATGTACCAATTAGAAAAATATTGACAGGCACTTCGGATTTGTTTAAGATTACGACTGAATTAAACGACTAACGAACGTTAAACAAAACTACCAGTATGGCAAATAATTGGTTTACTTAATAACTACCGAACAAACAAACATTTCTCGACATTTCTCGAATAATAGTGGGTAGATATGGCATTATAATATTTACTTACCGCGCAAGTGTACATTTACTGGCTACACATGTTATGCCATTATCAGTGTGTCCTTTAAGTGTCTCCATATTTTTATAGTAATCTTCAATAACAAAACAATAATTAGACGAACTCTGTTAACTATCAAACTACTGACTTATAGCCGCAGTGCAATATTTATCTATATTGTAATACTTCGATAAAGAAAAAAAAAAATGTATACATATGTTATTCGCCAAAAATGTTATTAAATTATAATACAACAAATAACACCACCAGTATACTACGATAAAATTATTGAACTGGCCCCATATATTAACTATACTCAGGTACGTGATTGTTTATTTTTTCTTTGAACAGAACGGTCGGTCACTAGGGGAACTGATGTTTGTTACTATCGTCGCTTTATTTTGTACCTATACCTACAATCTACTTAGCTACATAAACATAAATATTAAATAGCCCAATGATACTTCAGAAAAATCTCGAAGTGACGACCAGAAATTTCGAAGTTTACTTACAGTTTAAGTATACAATACGGCGATTATTAATATTTCATATTAATTGAACGTAATATACCGTAAAATACAATCAAAATATACTGATTAAAGATTATATATATATATACATGAGTGGCTCGAGTAGAATGTAATTTCTCCTAAATCCTCGATATGCCACTTTCTAAATCCTTCCCGTCATAATCGTAATCGTTTACCTCCACCCATCATGGATCCCGGATCCGCCCCTGATAATATTTAATATTTAAATATAGAAATATTATGCTTTCGGACCCCTATCCTTAACATTTCGGACGTCTGCTCCATAGATTAATATTTTATTTCTCGAAGTACTTACCGTAGTTTCATACTCCCGCATTAAATTCGGGTATAACCACCTCCCTGCTCACGCTTATCACTTACCCCTTAATTATTCTCCTTTTTGTGCTCGTCATGACGGTTCCTTTTACCTGCAATTCCACTTCCGTTTCCTCTTCAACTGTTTTGCCTTTACCAATATTCGTCTTCAACTTTCCTCTTTATGAAGTATGTACTGCTGATAATATTCCTTTCACTCTCCCTTATATTTTTCAATCTTCTAATGCCCCCCTCATATCTGCTACAATACATTTTTTTATTCAGGAAAGGCTTTCTTTTATAATCTTTTGTTGTTACTTTGTTAGTTATATAATTGTTTTTTTTTTCTATGTGTAACAGCTGAAGCATATTATAATAAAGTAATGGATGGGCCAAGAAGTATTTAGATAAATGCACCATGGGATGGGCCATGCTATTGTTTTATGCTGTTCTATGCAGTGACGGAAGAGACCTTGTGTTACCAATATGGTTTAAAATGTAGCACTGGTTACCGAACATGGTAAATTGGAAATTTACTATTTACCTATAAAAATTACGGTCTCATCGCTCATCGTGAATGTTTTGATAATTTTACCGTCATTCGGCCATAGATAATAAAGTAACATATTACATAATGCATAGCATATTAAAAATAATTAGCATAATGTAACAACTAATCATAGACCTTATACTAACTGCTACTAGCATAGACACTGAACAACAACTTATTCAAATATCATTTATTATTGATGATAGCAGAATATTATCAATTATCAATTGCCTAGTAACCACTGTTGTCCAACCGCTGTGGGTACATAAGACGTTCTCTTCTGTCACGGAACGCTCCGCGAGTAAGGTATAACGGATGGCCCATCCATTTATTATCTATGATTTTATGTTTATCATGTTGTTTTATGTTTTATTGTAAAATGTTTTACTGCACCGTACTGTGCATTAGTGAGGTCTATCTTAGAATTTGGATCTGTGGTTCGGAATCCGTCTCGGTCTGGTCAAATCGAAAAGCTTGAAAAACTCCAAAGACGTTTTATACATATGTTCAGTAATAAAATGGGCTTTTTAAATATATCTTCTTCAGATATTGCTAACCGCATTGGTCCCGTACCGTTGGCTATTCGTCGAAAGTACAATGACAGTGTTTGTGTACAAGTTAAAAACCGTTATGATTGATTGTCCGCAGTTCTTATCTCAAATTGGTCTTCAGGTCCGTGCTTTCAACTCTAGAAATTTATTATGTTTTTATGTTCCCTCAGTAATCGAAATTACGGTATAAACCGTCCGTTATACCTTATACCGTTTGTCATTTAATGAACTCGTCAATTTTGACTTGCTTTGATTCTACTACTACATTAAAATTTCTCGGATTTACTTGATCTTGTACCTTATCATATAAAATTATTTTTAAGTATTGTAATAAGTACTTTAAACATATAAAACTATTATTTTTTAAGCATTGTAATATCGCTACACCTTACCCCTTGCGGGTATTAAAATATATTATTTTTATTATTACGTCTCTAATAAAAAAAAAAAAAAAACAAAACAATAATAACGAATGCCGCTATTTGATGGTACATTGTTCAATAACATTTTGTTGGTCACACTGTTCGTCATTGCTATCATCTGCATTGCTTTGTGCTTATCTTTTGATATCAACCCAATGAGTTTGCAATTTGTTTGTAACACGAAAGATTGTTTTACCTACGGATTTGTAATTATTACAATTCTAAATTTTAATTTCTTTCTTCTTGTTTGACACAGAACGAGCGGTCATAACATCCCATTAAGATGGTTCTCGAAAGTACTATGATATGGTAAGTGTTACTTTAAGAACTATCAATATATTTAACGATTTGTAATGCTTTTTTTTTTTATATAATACAAAGGCTGTTTTAAAATATTGGTAGGTAAACGAGTTTGATGTTAATATTCTTGCACCGAAGAAGTTTTAACTATTTCAAATTCGTGGACGGATTTCTTATTAAATAATAATACGTATGTCGCTATTATTCCTCGTGATGTAGTTTTGATTAATGAGCTTGTGCAATGTGCCATTTTCAGTTAATTAAAATGAGAAAATATTCACAATGACACATCTAAGCTAATATAGCTTAGATTGATACGAATGCACAAATTTCAGATAATATTAAGTATCTACGGTTGATAACCAGTCATGAAATAATTTAAGTAGATACTCAATAGTTAATATTCTTGTACGTTACACATTTTTTTTATAACATTTATAACGTGGACTAGGATATTATAGATACACGACAAGCATCGACATCGCCAAGTATTGGTTAAAATACCTAAAATATAGGTGCTAACATGTATATTGCGATATCTATTGTAGACTGTAGTTTACAAATAATGTCAATATGGTGATTTTATAATAATTATTAAAAAAAAATTACATTTGTTTTTTTTTTTTGTATTATTAAACGAATAATAAATATTATGAGTGGTTTATGATGATAACAATGGTGGAATGTTACCATGATTATTATGATTATTATTATGACACTATGATTATTTACATAATTTTTTTTTATTTCGTAGATAGATTTCATTAGTTTTATCAACTTAATATTTTGGAAGATGCTATACGTACCCAAATTTACTGTCAGTAATGAATGACAATATAGTTAAATTGTGTTATTTAGAACAAAAATTGTGAAATAAGAGTTTAAATACAGGAAACAAAATTTATAAAAAAGAATGTTTGCATAAATAAAACATTACTGTTTTTTTTTAGAAAAGTTCAAACTATTAAAATAAAAAAAACTAACATTGAAGCAGTTCTTTTAATTGTAAAATTTTATAAAAACAGCATTATACTGTCATTGGCAATATTCTTGTCATTCAATTTTGTTACCTTAGTTTAAATTCCTAGATGGCCACAGCTAGTAAGGTAATTTGTCTATGTTAGTTAGAATGTGACTGTAATTGTAAAATGGTAAAACCTATTAATTAAATCTTATGGTATTTTATAAAACAGTTTAACTATAAAATATTAATTATACTGCAAAATATTATTTTATATATATTTTTAAATAATAAAATTATTATTATTAGGACATTAAATATAAGTTAATCATCATATACAAAACAATATGTTTTAATTTAAACGTTTTATATTTGACAGTGTTGATAACAGTGATTATATGCGAAATGGTGATTTTGTACCCAGCCGGCTACAAGCTCAACAGGATGCTGTCAATTTGGTGTGTCTTTCTAAAACCCGTTCAAATCCCGAGAACAATGTTGGTCTTTTAACTTTAGCCAAGTATGAAATTTTAGACTAAAACAACATTTTCTTTTTTAAAATTATATGTTTGTGTTAAAAATGTTATACGTATTAATCTTTCTTTTAGTGTTCGTGTATTGGCTACTTTGACCGCTGACGTTGGCCGTATTCTATCTAAATTACATCAAGTACAGCCCAATGGTGATATCAATTTTTCTACTGGCATCAGAATCGCTCATGTAATCTATTATTTTTGTATTCAATTATTATAATGAGCAAATAGAAATTACATTTTAAATTATTAAATATTACAGTTGGCATTGAAACATCGTCAAGGTAAAAATCACAAAATGCGTATTATCGCATTTATTGGTAGTCCAGTGGGTTTAGACGAGAAGGAAATTATTAAGTTGGCAAAAAGACTTAAAAAAGAAAAAGTTAACGTTGATGTCGTTTCTTTTGGCGAAGAGGTAAAAATAATATAATTAATCTATATTATAAAAATTACACTAACCATTTTTTAGGCCGAAAATTCCGATGTATTAACTGCTTTTGTTAATACATTAAATGGCAAAGATGGTGGTGGTAGCCATCTTATTGCTGTGCCCCCTGGATCACACTTTTCTGAAGCAATAGTATCGTCTCCAGTTATCCAAGGAGAAGATGGTGCTGGCGGTGCTGGTCTTGGTGGAACGGGATATGAATTTGGAGTCGATCCTAACGAAGATCCTGAATTAGCTTTGGTTAGTTTTTAAAATAGGCAATTTTTTGATGAACAAATTTTAAACTTTTTTTTATTTTAATTCATTTTTAAGGCATTGCGTGTTTCAATGGAAGAACAAAGAGCTCGACAAGAACAAGAAGCTCGTCGAAATCAACCAGCTGGTGGCCCTGAAACTTCAACTACTCGCCCGGAAACTATAAATGAGAGTAAGAAAACTATTATAATAATTTTCAAAACTAAAATTGTTTTATTTTATTGGACTTATTTTTACCAATAAGTTCAACATTTTGAACATTATTATTCAAATAAAAAACAAACTATGTAAATAAAAACCAGAATAGTATGACTATAAAATATCATCATGTTCAGATTGCATTAAAGATTGATACCCCCAACAAAGTCTGTTCTAGATTACTGTTTTTTATTTTTCAATATTATCACCATCATCTAGTTAGGCATATTTTTATTTGTTTCTATAAAAACAGTAATAGTAAAATGTTACCAATGTTTATTTTTATTCGCATGAAAAATTGTAAAAATTGAGTTACAAAAGTCTTTATTGAGAGTGTCAAATTTAGTACAATATAATTTTATATTGATAAAAATCAAAAATGGTTATCAATATATAAATAAAGAATTAATACAAATTGAGTATTAAGAAAATGTTATACATGCATTTGTTGTTTCCATCTTACAAATACAAAATATAGTAAAAACATACTTACTTAGACTATGCAGAACTCACTTAGTTTTGGTTTTAGAGGAAAATCACCTATTATAAAATTTATGTAGAACAATATTCCAGAGCGCAAGACATTGGGTCTTTTTTAAAAAGTTTTAGCAAAATAAAAAAAATGTTGAAAAAGTTGTTATTTATAAACGGTAAATTGGCTGTTATATTCAGAAAAAATGGAAAAACCGCATCGTCTTGTCCTTCGGAATATTTTTCTTTTTTGATTTTATAATTAGTGTTTTTAACTTTAAAATCAAAATTAAGCGAATTCTGTGTAATCTGTGTAAACATGTTTTAACTATATTGTGCATTAGTAATAGAAAAACAACAAATACATGTGTACCATCCTCTCAATCAGAATACTAAGTTTTGCTACCACTTACCATCATTTAAATGGTTAAATTGTTTCCTATAGATTATGTATTTCATTAATATTTGATTTAAATTTGTTTAACATTATGTATTTTATATTAAAAAAAAAAAAATCATATCAATTAGAATATACTAGGTGTCTCACGTCCAACATTGCCCCTGCCGATGTGTTTATTATTATTACATTTATTCCCGTATCAATATATTAAACAAAAACAGTAGTGTAAAGTGAATAGATAATCCGTCTTTTGTAGGCAAACTAAAAGTGTTTTAGTGTATCATATATTTTTTCATTTGTGTTATCATATATACCTTCATGGCACAGGGATTAAACTATATATTATCAAATATTATCCAGTCTTCATAAAAGGTTAGACACCCCTGGATTAGAATATAATTTTGCTACTTATATTTTCTTTTTTAAGATTTTTTTCTATTTACTCCTAGACATGAGCAGTGGAGTATTTACAATATAGGCACAACCAGCAAATGCTAGGGAGTCATTAGTTAGCAGCCATAGTTTAAAATTATTTTCCAGAAATACCCAAAAACCTTTTTTTATAGTGTTGATTAAATCTTTTATTTCGTAAATTTCATTTTGCGTATTTCATAAATACTAATCAGAATAAAATACACATTTAAAATATTAGTTAGGTTAATGACAGTACACTAATAATATACTATAATAATCAAACAATAATGTTGAATAAAATAAATAAATCCTGTCATTATTGCAGCTCCATCTGAAGAAGCATTGTTGGAACGTGCTTTGGCCATGTCAATGGAAACTGGCGAAGATGAGCCGATGATTGTTCAAGAGGGATCAAGCAGCTCAGCTGCTGGCACTTCTGCTGGAGCTGCAGCTTCTCAAATGGATTTCAATAATATGAGTGAAGAGGAGCAGATAGCATTTGCTATGCAAATGTCTATGCAGGAGTCTGCTGCTGACGATAAAGCATCTTCGTCGAGCGCTAAACCAAAAGATGAAGCTATGGAAGTTGAAGAAGACTATTCTGAAGTAATGAATGATCCAGACTTTATTCAAAGTGTATTGGAAAATCTACCCGGTGTGGATCCACAGAGTGATGCTGTACGCCAAGCTGTTGGTCTTGTCAGTAAGGATTCTAAGGATAAAGATCAAAAAAATGATAAGGATAAAAACAGCAAAAAATAAATCTTAAGAATATAATTATACTTAATATATTTCTTATTTTTTTTTTTTTATAAATATATTTAACATTAATCCCTTTTAAAATTATCTATCTAAAATTGTTTGTTATTTATAACAAAACAAAATTTGATTTTCTGTGGTGTTTATTTGAAAAATAATATTTAGTATAATAATACAAACATAATGTTTAAAAATATAACAATATTAGAATGATTAGATATTTAAAAATATATATTTCATTTTTACAAAATTGCTAAATAAAATATTTAAATAGACAGTTGATAAGTTTTTATCTATGTGCCGAAGTTATTATGACTTAATGTTATATTATTATAGCTTCTAAGCGAAATAAGGAATTTATTAGGTACACTATATTTACTTTTTTTTTTTTAGTTTAAACAATTTTTTAGCTATTATAAAACTTGTTCCGAACAAAAGTTATTTCTGGTAGCAAATGTGGTCTAATAATCTATCAATACAGCATATTGAGAGATTATTATTTTTTTTATTTTCCTCTTATTTATCTTAGTAATGGAGGAAAGACAGAAATATTTTCACAATGAATTAACAGTCTGTTAATTATTATTTTTTCATTGTGATTTCATAGTGAGAAATAATCATTAAGACCTAAAATTGTTACCAAATACTTTTATTAGCACTTTCTAAATGCTTTACAGGTTTCAAAATATAATATCATTTTTTGAGTTATTTATAACTATTGAAAACATTTGAATTTTTTTGGTTTTATTTAAATAACTCATTTTTGGCTTTATATATTATGTTAAAATTTGATTCAAGATTCCTTATACGTTTTTCTTGTAGTAGTAGTATACGGTAATTGGAAACCTCAAATGTATCTATAAACTGTTTTTCGAACACTGCCTCACCTATATATTTTTGTTTAATTGTGGCTTGTTACAATTATTAAAATAATTATGTAGGTATATTGAATTTACGTATTGCAGAAAATAATGAATACTTATGGTAAGGTGTTTTTCACTCAAAATTCTGATTTAACCCTCCAATATTGGTTAGATATAATTTAAGGCGTTTCATTCAATGGCATAATATGTTATTATTTTTTTTGGGTCATTCAATTTTTATTAGTCAATTGCATCATACTTGCACGCTTTAGATACGATAATTTTTATACCTGTTTATTATTTAAACAATTTGCTTTTGTTTTTTCTAACATTACAAGGTTCTTTGGGCATAATTGTTTCAAAATCAATGTGAATATGGTGAGAAAACCTACATAATAACTTATATTTATCCTATACCCGAAAATGTAAATAATAACTACATACCTACTTGTTATGATAATGTTAGTTATTAAGAAATCATATTTTTGGGCAACTTGATGCCTATGTTAAAAATATAAAAGCTTTGCAGAAAATGGAAATAGATTATTTTTGTAAATAGAAATAATATGTTAACATGGTAAAATCCATAGGTATAAAAATATTTTTTGTTATCTGTGGTCATTGAACCGCATCGATGTTATTATTTTGTTTTAGCGAGTCGATTTCTATAATTGTTTCGTATCATTGATTAGGTGTTGCCAAAAATTTGCCAGGATCACGAACTTGCACTGTTGCTTATTTACCGTAAAATAAGTACCTATACCATTGGATGATATTATATTGATATCATTGAACGATTCTCTTCAATGTTAGACTTTATAATTGATAAAAGTGTCCAATCCCCCTGTCTAACAGTAAAATTGTAACTAAGGCGTTATTTTTTTAAGGAGTTTTCTATTTTAAAAGTGGCTGAAAATATATTTCGCAATCCCCGTAAAAAAAGGTCTAGGTACGTCACTGACTAGACAGATCGTCATTCTTCTTCCAGTGAGTGTGGATTATCAATGGTATGAGTCTGCTACGAGTGTCAAATTATTGAAATAAATCCTTTTGTGATTTTCGTTTTTTTTTTTTTTTTTATCAACCATTTTTCTACAAGAAAAATTGCACCAGTTACAAGTGTAGCTCCTTTTTTGAAAACAGAAATTATTATTAATAGTTGGTTCAATGGAGGGTCATTTTTTCTAAAGTACCTATCTATTTTTCAGGGTTAGGTATGTATAAAGCATGTAGGTACCTAGTATGATGCGTACGTATCAAACTACTTGATTTTATACGTTTTTTACCGTATACAAGCTTTTACGTTTTTTTTATTATTACTGCACTGAACAAAGGATATAGGGTATAATTTTTATACCCACTAATAATAACTGTTAATATGTTTTTTTATAGTCAGGCAGGTAGTAAGTTAATAAGTTTGTATTTATTAATTATTTTTATTTTAATAGTTATTAACTAAGTTTATCTTTATTAATAACAAATCATTAATTACATTATTATTTAAATTTAAATAAATTTACTAAGATGTGATTTGTTTTAATTAATTTATGTTTAGCTTTGATATATAGCTGAGACGGTATTGTTTTTACAATTAAGTGTTTCTATTTAATTACTACCTATACTAATTAATTTAGGTATTTTTCAGTTGAACATAAATATAAATAATACCTATATTATTGTAAACAGTAAACTCTTTTTAAAACAGAATTAAAAATATCCATACAATATTCGATATGTATATTACATAAAAAAGTTATAAACATAGTTGATGGATATTACCTAGTTAAAAATCAAAATCGGTGCATAATGAATAATAATATATTTCATAGTAAAAATTCATATGATTTAGTTGTTTTATAGTTTTATACGTTTTATACGCGGTGGTGTATTACGTGTGTAATTTATAAAGCATTTTATACACGTATACTACCAACCCTGAGTTTGCTTAATAATTTAGAAAAATTCGCGGGGAAATGTACAGAAACAACGATTTCAGTATGTATTTTTTTGTTATAATTCGGTTAACAATAATTTTATAAACGCCTATGGTAAACATCTAAACGTGAGAAACGCGAGTACTTAATCAGTTTGAATAACAATAAACTATAATATTACCTATCGGGTACTATAGTGAAATTTGTATGTTTCTCTTGAAGCACAGGTATGGAAAATCGCCCAAGGCGTGGGCGAAATGATAGACGCAGGGTGACAAGGAGATAAAATTAATTTTCTCCGGGACAGCGATTTGGTAGGTAGTACACTGGTTATTATTACAGCTATCAATTACCCAGTATATTATCTACACTATTACGGAAGAAACCGCTAGTGAATTACCGGGCAATAAATTGCTGCACACAGCGTATCCCCTAATCGAGATTGAAATTATCAATTTCAGCTGTACACTCAGACACGATTCGTTATTAATAAATGAAAAGGCGTACCTATACTTCGAGCGATTTAATAGTCAAATCGGGAAATTCGTATTACCTTGTATACGTTTTATTCCTAAACAGCAACAAAAAAAAAAAAAAAAAAAAAAATAAATGATACTGAGGATGGAAGCGGCCACTGCTGTAGGTGAGAAGTTGGGAAGGTAGGATACAGAAGGATATTTCATTCCTATCTGTGAAAAACGATAAACCGTTGCTTGACGAAAGACGATTCCGAGCGCAGTTTGGTAATACATAATTTGAAGCGTCGTAATTTTTTTTCGCGATTTTCGGTTTAATTTGATTTTAAAATGCTTATAACAAAAAAAAAAAAAAAATCGTCCGATGATTTTGAGAATTTTACCACGTCTGGGTAAGTCTAATATAATTATTATTGCCAAGTTTCGAGCCTACGAGATTTCGAGAATCAAAAAATTACATTTTTAAAGTACAATCTAGTCAACTTGAGCTTTCAGAAAAGTTGCTTTACGTAAAAATCGGAGCGAGTTTACTAGGAAAAAACGTGTTCACTGATTAAAAGAAAGAAAGAAGAAAAAAAAATTAACATCTTAGTAAAACCTATAGCTCCCTTGTTACGCTCGGAATTTGAAATCAACACATATTATTTGCATTTTAACGGTGTTACACATTGTAGTGTAGTTTTAGTAGAACTAAACACACTTTTGTTTTTTTTTTTTTACGATGAAACGCATCGCATATCAGTCTTTCATAACTTCTTTTTTCAATAAGTAACACCTAATTAAAAAAAAAAAAAAAAATTATCACTTGATAAATTGTAATCAAAGGTCTCGAAAGTGGACCCCGACGATATGTATATTATGCGTAATTTTATGTAATTTTATTGGATACATAACGTGAACAAATGTCTAACCGTATTAAAAAACGAATATATTCTTTTGGAACTAGAATATAAAAAAAAAAAAAAAAAAAAAAAAAAAAAAATAATAATAGTTTTAACTCGATTATTTTCCCATCGTAAACAGTTACACTGCAATTAAATTAGGTAATATTTAATTGACATTTTCTATTCGTGTGTAATACTCGTACACGATTTTTCGCGCGACTCTGACTGTGTAACAACTTTACAATGTTATACTCATATTATATTAGGTATATACGTTAAAGTAATTTGTGACGTCCGACAATAGACAAGGGACTACATTATTTTTATTATTATTATTTTTTTTTTTTTTTTACGACAAAACATGCAATAATGTTATTATCAAATTAGACGTTTTACCGTTTGAAAAAACAAAAATTGATTCACTATAGCTCGGTAACCCCCGTGTAATTGGGTAGACACGCGAGGTTTTAATCTCGTAAAGACTGAATTGATTTTCCCTTCCCATACCCCTCGTTTTCACTTCAGAATGGCAATTATTAAAGAATTTCGATTCAAATTGACTCGTCCGAGCCTCCGAACAATTACGTTTATCTGTGAAATTGATACGTGACGTTTTGAACTTTGCATTTTTCCAATTTTAAGTAATTATTGACAATTTCAAAGGAAATGGTTTTTTTTTTTAAAAAACTATTTTTCCTTTAGTTCATACTTTGGTCTATAGGTTTTCTAGGTTTTCAAATCCTTCATTCTACTCGTCTATCCGTTGCTTATCCTTTTCAGTTTAAACTTCTACCTGCGAGTAATTTAATCACGTCCATATTTATTAAAATCTTTCCATTTTGTTTTGGGTTTTTGCAAGGGTCTTTTTCCACGCGCATTCTGCTCCAACGCCGCTTTCATTAGCTTGTTTCAAGCATGTATTATCCTTTTCAATCGTCACCTCAATCAATTCCGGCCTTTTTTTCTTCTCCGCCAGCCTCCTTCATCCTTAGTTGGTCCGAAAATATAAATTAATTTGATCCGTGACAACTGCATACCCTCTTAAATCGTTATCACCGATCACCAGTATACGTCTATGTACTGTGTGAATTTCTTCAATATCAAATTCCATTATGTTATCAATATGCACGTGTCTATCGTCGAAATAATGGACGTGCTGCAGTATTTTAACGTCAAGAAAATGGATCTAGATGCATTTAATCAACAAACGCGTTATTGGGCGGTTTTTTAAACCGGTAAAAAAAAAAAAAAAAAAAAAACAGTTAAAGTTTCATCAATATTTTATCAAACCGTAGCATTTAAAGAATTACGACGGTTCGATTTGAAGTTTCGCAACCTTTTTGCCACGGACCACGTCCCTTACTTGGCTGGCCGGAACATAATTTATTTGTCCGATCCTTTTGCCCGATTGGCAAACAGTGGCCAACTATATATTACGTTGTAACATCAACCATCGGGCCATTTGCATTGCGAGTTTAAAGGCGGAGTACAATAAATATTATATTATTTTCGATTTGCGTAGCAAACTCTTCCCGGCAACGTGTGCCGCGAACAATCGAATAAATTGGCGTGCTGGAGTTTTTTTTTTTTCCGCTCGTTCATCGGTTGGTAAAAAGGTAACGTAATATTTTGCCCCGAACGAGGGACGAGTCGTGAACACTCGTGCGTTTGAATAGTGTGTTCTGATCGCTTTTTGCCGCGGACGGCCAAAACCTTCGCTCGTATTATAATATTGTTATTATATGGCGAGTATAGTTTATACAGAACGATGCTCGCGGAAAAACAATAAAACCGGTCAGGGCGTAGATGACTGCGGTTGAATTTGACGATGCGAACATTAAGTAGGTATCTGTTAGTATCGCGTATATACTAAAAAAAAGAAGAAAAAAGCTGATACTGCTGACCGGTGCGCCAATGTTTAGGAAAAAGTAGGTTATAAATATTTTGAACTGTCGTAATATTTACGGTTATCGTTAAAATCCGATCTTAATACGATTATTAAGAACAATTACTAAATTATCGTCAATTTTTTTTTTAATACCCATATAAGTGCAATCAAATTTATAACTAACCTCGGGTTTAGTTTTCAATTATTTCTGTTTGTTAAAAAATCCTAACCACATAGTAGGTACCTATACCGTAGAAAAACTATATTAAAAATCAAAAAGGTAAAATGCCTATAAATAGCCAAAAAAAATCGCCAACATTTTTTAAAAATATTAACACGTCTGGAAAAGGCTAAAATAAGTTTTCTATCAAAACGTCAAATCTCTACAATTATTTTTAACTGAATTACAACAAAAAAGTAGATTAAAATAATTAAACCATTATTTCCGTTAACTTTCTCGTTCTTTCTACGTTTTTTCCCCCGTTTGTGCTAAAATATTTTTAGAAAAAAAATCACGGAAAACCAAAAAACGACTTTCTTACTCAACAACTAGATCCGAAATCTAACAAAAAAACGTCCTGATTGACATTTTTTAATTAAAGCGTCATTTTATTGGTAGAAAACATAGTTCGTACAAATTGAATACAACGAAATCGGTAATGCTGCGGCGTGCCGTAAATATTTGCCCGTAAATACTTTCCATGTAGAAAATGGGATACACCTGAAACATCGGAGCGAGTTTTCTGTTCAAAAAATTGTTTACAGACAGAAAAAAAAAAAAAATACATCGTTGTAAGACCAACACAGATTTCTCGCCACGCTCAGAGTTCACAAAACCTGGCCAAAAGTTCTCGCGTTCATACGGTGAAATCGTAAAACTCAATTAAAATCGATGTACCGAATGGTTATCATTCGAGTGTCACTATAACCGTACTAACGAGTAATAACCGTTGTTCCTTACCAATCGGCCGTTGGCTGTGACGCGTTTGAGCATTTTTCAGTTGACCGGCAATCGGCCGTCTTGGTTTCCGTAAACTGTTTGCCGACGACAAGAATTTTTTTTTTTTTTTTCGCCCCTCCACCCCAAACATTACTCGACGAATATCGTAACATTACGCAATTTAGTACGCGACCGGGTGAGCGAACTGTACGTGCTCGGTACGGCGATATCACGAGCTCGTGTCAACAAAAACATTATCGTTCGATTCGATAAACGAA